TAGTCCAGCGTTCGTTTTTTTTAACCGGACCCAGTTTTAAGTGCGCCCTTTGTGTTGTACTGTGATGAAAACAGAATTGTTGTAACAGGATTCCAGGAAAAAGAGCGATAAAAGAAGAAAAGAAACCGAAGAAAGAAACAGGGGGCTGAACACACCAGCTGATCCTGGACATGTTAAAGTTATGTTTTGTTAGGCCACAAGATTATTTAAAAGCTGATTTTTTCTGGGTGGAGTTTGCATGTTGTCCCTGTGTCTGCGTGGGTTCTCTCCGGGTTCTCCGGCTTCCTCCCACAGTCCAAAAACCTGCATGTTAGCTTGATTAGACATTCCAAATTGCCCTTAGGAGTGAGTGTGTGTGGTTGTTTGTCCCTGTGTGTGGCCCTGCGATGGACTTGCGGACTGTCCAAGGTATACCCTGCCTGTTGACCACTGGGATAGGCTCCAGTTCTCCCCATCAGGGAATAAGCGGTATTGACAATGGATGGATGGATGGAAGTTAGCATCTAACTGGCATCATCATTGTCTTTCAGTAAAGCTGCAAAGCTGAACAGTTTTGTCCAAAGGCTCTCAGACAGTTGCTCATGTTTTCCAAGCTGTCTTTTTTTTGGGTTGAATTAAGAAGAATTTTAATTGTTCAAAGTCCCCTGTGACTGGCAGCTAATAGAAACCCTGATTTGAATTTGAACCGAGGACCGCGTGCTTTCCTTTCATTTTCAGAGGAGCCGTGTATCTGGCTTGTTCCTTTTCTTCTTTTTTCTCGCGTGTTCCCAAGTCGTCTCTCTTTCTTTCCACCACGCAGGTGTGGAAAGAAAACCATCTGCAGTTTTCCTCCCTCCCCGTTTTGCCTCCCACATCCCTCCTTGATCCCCTTCTCCGTCTCCTCTTGCCCGTGCAAATGTCAGCCTTCACATCCTCTGCTATCAAAGGCTCCACGCTCGCAGCGGGATCCCCCCCCCCGAACCCGACTGCTCCTCTCACATCACACAGCCTCACACACACACACAAAGAAGGAAGCATAAAGAGAAACAATTGTGCACCCTAAAAAAAACAAACAAAGGAACCGATTAGTTGGACTAAGACATTCAATGGACATGTTTCGTGGGTGGTTTGTGACGTTCCACTTCCTAACATGATGCATCACAGCTGGATGTCTACTTGGTCTTATACGAAGGGCAAGCAGCCATCGGCCCTCTTTCTTCATCATCATCATCATCAACCTAAAAGTCTAATAAAACCTGCAAATAAAGATTAAATTGGTGTGTTTTTTTCAAATCAAAAAGCCCATCTTGCAACATCCATCCATCCTTGGATACATCCATGGTTTTGGATACAAAGAAAACAAACCCCACAGTTTAAGGACGGGTCACCGCAGGTTTTGTTGTCTCTTTCAAGAGAACATGAACACACTGTCAACAACGCACAATAAGGTCAACCAGCAAAACAGCTGGATGAAAGGTTCAAGTTCGCCTTAAAGAAGATGACAGATGCTAATATGAAAGCTCAGTTGAACCTTGTTGTATTCTCATGTGCACGGATTAGATACTTTTAGATATATTTTTTAAATGAATGAAGCTTCTCATGACTCGTTTGTTTGTCTTTTTTGCCTCCCGTTGGGATGTACGAGAGACCCCTGTAACTTTCCCCTCTGTGACCTCACACTGACAATACATTCACACCAATCTTCTCTTCTGGCTTTTGGCAAGATGAGAAGATGGCACGATTATAAAATAAAATAAAATAATTGTTCTTTTCTTCAACAAAAGCAAGCAGGAGTTCAGCCGTGGTTTCATCGTCCAAGTTAAAGCTTTAAAAATAAGCTCAAAATCAATACTGGAAAACTACAAAATTTGGACACGTGAACCTGGATTTTTTTTTTAAAGCCCATTAAATGTCTTCCTTCTCACATTTGCAACGTCGATTAGAAAGCCACTCTGGAGCACACGTGAGCACGCTCTGCAATCGGGTGCAGAGTGGTAGGCCGCTGTCAGCGGGATGTGGAATACAGAGGAGATCTTTCAGCCCTTTCGGAGCTCTCTGCAGTTAATTAGTGGCATGGCCCGGGGACTTTCACTGCTCGTTTGAATGGGAGCTGCTGTGACCTGTGTGTTTCTGTGTGCGCCAGAGCAGAGCTGTTTCCGAGCTTCTCCTGACTCATCTGGCTTTTGGAAGGGGCGCTGAGAGGCAAACCGAATGGGGAAGATGCTCGGTCGGACTTGGTTTCAGAGCCAAGGAGGTGACTCGTTTCTCATTTAATGAAAAGAACTCTAATCACCAGCGCTTTCCCTGACTTCTTCTCCTAATTCTTCTCCGTTAAGACTTCTGAAACCTTCTCTGCTGTTGAGCTGTTTAATCTACAGCGTCTTTGAGCTTGTATCCCCTCCGGCTAGTGTTTCACGTACTTCACAGCACATTACCAGGATCTTGTTACAAAACAGTACAAAGGCAGTGTTTGGGGGTAGGATCCACCCCGGCAGTGTTCACAGATTGCACGGCGTGCCTGCAGAGTTGCGGGAGACGTGAAGTCGTCATTTGAGAGGCAGTTTCATCTGACTTCACACAGTTCCCTCTGGAGCCACAAAGCGTCGATTCCAGATTTCTTCATTTGTTTAGGGACTGTCATAACAGCCCCTGCTCAAAATTTGTCTGAAGAAACAAAACAAAACCATTTCCATTATTTAAAGCACAATTGTGTAACCTGGGAGAAGACAAAAGTGAACCAACCAAATTAAACCAAAGACTTGAGGATTCTATGCATCTATCCTTTGCTTTATGATACCGCTAATTTAATTAGAAATATCAGATACCGTATAAGCAATAAACAATCTTTACTTTACTTTAAAATCATCATCAGAGAGACTTTGATATCTGAATGATTCAGATCTCCTGAAACAGTTTTTTTTTTACTCAACAATCTGTTCTTTTCTGGGAGCAATGATGCCACCAAGAGGGTGAGTCATCAATTCCATCAATGTTTGACCTCTAATTGTGGGGATTTTAAAATGTTGAGTAAAAATAACTCTTTGGGCCTCTAAGGTAAGCAAAAATACAATTTTGAAATTTCTTTATTCTTATAGTGACCCAAACAAAATAGCTCTGAGAAATTTAAACAGTCAAAATGTGTCCACATACCAAAAAAATAACGCAAAACCAAGCCAGGAATAAAAAAAGAACATCAAGATTTTTTTGATCCGTTTATCTGTTTCTTTATACTGCCAGTATACTGCCAGTATAAGTCAACATTTTTCGTATCGTGGAATATCTTAATTTGGTCTCAAGAAACTACATGTTAACTATTTGAACCCCTTTTATGAAAAGATACATTTTCAAGTCCATAATTGATTTATTTCTAATCATTTCATGGATATTCCATGATAGTTGTTGTCTGGTAAGGTCATCAGGGCCAAGCTTAACTCATTTTAATTTGTGATTAGCATATAGCTGCACAAATATGGCTTTTCGGTAAATCTGCCCAAATTCAAGCGACTATGAGACGGACACGATCAGGTTCACCATCACGGGGACAGCCCTGGTTTATTGAACTAACTGTCAAGGATTCTTATTGCGATTACCAAGCAAACTGAAAGGATTTTGAGTCCAACATCAAGGCAAACACTTCCCATTGTGTTTGGAGAGACCCGTTTACACTGAAATTTCCAAACATGGGGTTTTGCTCTAATATGATTGTAAGACTGATTTGACATTTTAGACCATTACATAAACACAAAAGAGCTTTAAGAATAATTAGATCAAACTGTTCTGGAAGCTCTTCTTGAGCTGATTTCAACACAAAAATCCTGCTTAGGGGAAAAAAATGTATTTCTGAAAGATATTCTTGAAGTTTTGAGGGGTTGGTGTTACAAGAACATTTGTTGACACATCCCAAGTAGTGGATTTCTTTACAATGGCGCCCTCATGTGGCTTTTCTTTTGAACACACTACACTACGCTGGGAGGTGAGGTATTAACGATCCGCTATAGTATTACCTGTAAATAACAGTCAATACTATATCCAAAAGTTTTTCAATAAATTTTTCCTGATTCTCTCTTCTACATATCGAACGTGTTTGCGTGGTGAAAAGGCAAAAAACAAAAACATTGTTTATGTTTTCATAGTATGTTTATTTTTTTTAAACAGCTTTCTTTAAAAAAATTGAGAGGGACCAAGTGTTTTGGAAGCCCCACCCTGACCCTTGTGTTCCCCAGCCGGGTCGCTTGACTCGAAAGCAACCAGCAAAGAAAAATAGTCATATGGACAATTGATAATATACACCCCATATACAGCAATACATAGTGGTCTACCATAATGTTACCAATAATACGCAACCTCCAATGAGGCTTCAATTCAAACTGTTGCCACCGATATGGTTCAATTCAACAGCGAATGACAACCGTTGACGGCTGTTGTTTTTTTTCGTTGTTTTTTTTTTTGGACTAGTATGGGCGGGGTTCGGGTTGCAAACAGCTGCCTTGTGTTATTGGTGGCTCAGCTGACAAACAAAACACGCAGCGGCTGTCGCTCAGCGCCGAGGCGGAGCCGCTGACCCGAACGCCCCCCCTTAAAACCAATCACATTCAGCTTAAGTGCAAAGTTTAGGAGGCACTGACACACACTGCCGTTTCGTGGAGGCCCAAGCGGCCATCGCCGGCAGGCCGAGGGGTTCGCTCGGACCCCTCTACGTAGCGGGAAATGAGAATTTACTGACCAGGCTGTCGTCGTGGCTCCTCGCGGGTTTTTTTGAAATTCAAAGAGTCGGTCCCGACGACTTGGACTCCTTTTTCTGAATTTCGACGTCTGCGTTTCTTGCATATTTCACCTCAGCTCTCATGAAATAACAGCCGATGACCAACTGATTGAAGGTGTGTGTGTCTGTGTGTGTGTGTGTGCGCGCGTGTGCCAGTGACCCCCCCCGCAGTGGTGGAGACAGCATAAAGAAGTATGTGCATGAAATAAAGACGGAGCCTGTACACAGTGTGAGTGACCGCGTGTCCATCCGCGTGCGCCTACAGGCACGACTCCCAGTGCAGCTGCAGGTCAGTGCTGTCCAGGAAGTCGGCCGAGAACACGCTCTGCGGCGCCGTCGGGGCCGAGCCCGTCCCGGCCTCCCGGTCGCCCGCCGGCCCGCCCCCCGCCCCCCGGCCGCTGCCCTCGCTCCCTCCGTTGGCGCTCCCCACCATGGAGATGTCCAGCCAGTCCATGCTGTCCAGGGTGGGGTCGCCGAAGTCCAGCCCCACGGAGTGGGGGGAGAAGCCCAGGTCGGACGTGTCCATCGGGGAGGGGGGGTGCTCCAGGATGCTGGGCGTGCTCAGCATCTGGTTGTGCAGGTCGTCGATGAGCGTCAGGCCGCCGTCGGGCTCCATGCCCAGCAGCGGGGCGCCCGTGGTGCTCTCCAGGAAGTCCTCCAGGCGCCCGCCGGCCGGGCAGGGCTCCCCCACAGGCAGGCGGGGGGACATGAGCGGCTCCGTGGGGGTGGGGGGGGACAGGTGGAGCGGGGACGTGCCGCCAGACGGGGATGGGGGGTCAGAGTGCAGAGGGGCGAGGGAAGGGTCCGGGTTGGCCTTAAATCCCGGGATTTCTGACGGGGACAAAGAGAGAATTGAACACCTCAATACACACGTTCAAACCCAGAGTCTGTCCTCCAGTTTATCCCGTCTTACCTCCACTCTTCAGCAGGATATCAAACAGGTCGTCCATCTGCTGGCTGTTGACACCATTCTCCTGCGAACACAGGGGGACATTTATCAGCCAACACCAAACTAAAACCCAGTTCCCTTTTTTTTCTCATTTCGTTACCGTTACATGCAGGAGAAGAAGAAACATGTGGCTCATGTTAATGTCATGCTCACAAGACTGATGGGTGACAGGGGAACACGGAACCTGGCCCTTAATGGAAAAAGTCTTTTTTTTTGTAGTTTATTCAAAACGTTTGCCATCTCAAAGAAGAGAAACAGCAACAGAAGTAGGATTCGGCTCTGTATTTATAAATGGAATCTAACTTTACTTCCTCTGCGGAAGCTCTGAAACAAAGGAACCTACTAAGCAGCTAAGGAATATGTTGTCAACGTTCTTCGGGAAACTGTGTTTTCAAAAAACATTCCAGGGTTTAGGAAAGGGCGCCTGGGGTCACCATCAATATTCCAGACTGGAATATTGTGTGGACAAAGACGTAAACACAGTCTGGGGGGGCAAAAAAAAAGAAAGAAGTACCACATTTTTAAAAAGAGAAACAGCTAATATGATTTTGAAGTAAATGAGATTATATTTTTGATCATGTAAAGGGCATGTGATCAAATAACATCTGTGTGGTCCTGATGTCTGGTTTCATTATGTTAAATAGGCTAAATGCAAATAAGAGCAAAAAAAAGAGGTTTCACATAAGTCCCTTGACATCTAAAAATAAGGCGAGCAGACATGCTTTAAGCACTCAGCTCTTATCAGGGCATGAAACTACATGTTGTGGTTGCAGCAACAAGTGTACTTCTCCTTTCATCGTGATGGGTAACAGCTGACTGGACACAGAGTGGTTAGTTTTTCATTTGTTCACACATTTATAATCTACATGCAGCACAGAATTCTCAGAATCATAAACAAATTAAACGGTAAAAAAAAAAAAATCTGACGTAAAGGTCAGCCGCTGTCATTCAGTGGTCAGAGGTCTCTAAAAAAATAAACAACACACAATGCACACGGCTCAGAGTCAGCGGGTGGAAACAGGACGTACGGGCAGGAAAGAAGAAATGAAAAAGAAAAGACATGCTGGAGGACATACTTTGGAGCGCCGAGAAGAAAGGGAGGTGTTGGGTTTGGGAGAGGGAGGGGTGAAGAGTGTGTGCCGGTCGTAAGGCGGACACACCTCCTCTCTCTGCCCGGGTGGAGTGATCAAAAGATGAGATATGAGAGAGAGGAAGAAACAAGCAGAGGGAGAAGTTTACAACACGTGAGGGGCCGACATGCAGATGGGGGCTCTGAAGCGGAGAGGGGGAGTGTTGTGGAGGGGGCGGGGGGTTGGGTGGGGGGGCTGCAGGTGGCGTTACCTTCAGAGGTGTCATCAAGTTGCTTTGGCTTTCAGTGTCTGACATGTCGTCGAAGAAAGGCTGCAGACTGGGCGGGGCGGTGTGGGCCAGGCTGGGCAGCGTAACGCCATTGGTGTCCAGGTGCAGACCTGGCTTCTGTCCCTGAGGGGAGAGCGGGACAATTCCACACTGAGATGGGGCACGGGCACAAACACGGGCCGTTGGAGACACCCTGTGGTAACGACTGAAGGGCTGTTTCACGCCACGGCGGCAAAGTCACGCCAGATTTAGTCATGTTTACACATAAAACAGCAAGAAAAGAAACAGACCAAAGGCTGACAGCCACCAGTTCTGATCCGTGGTAAACAAAAGAGCCCATCTTGAATGGGATTGTGGGAAAGCATATTGAAAGTCGTTTAAAATGTGGGGACAGGGGCAACGAAAGCTTCATTAAAAAAAAGTGGGTGAAATATTTTGGTTTTGAAAGGGCACCTTAAAGAGGCAGAGTCCCTCAGAGGCAGAGTTAACCAGTCTGCAAAATCAATATGTCGGAAAGTCACTGTAATGCCCATGACCTGTAGGCCCTCAGGAATGCTTCCTGTCTAGGAAGTGAATGCTCAAAGACATGTCCACAAATGAGGCTTAGAGCTCTTTCATAAACAGAAGATGGCCCTTTCTCAACTGTTCTGGTACTGCCATCCAAGTCAAGGCTCTAACTAATATTATATTCTTTAAAAAGTTGGAGTTCCAGGTTAAAAACTGTGTTTCTGCTGCACCTTTTTGTCCGGTTGGCTCACGGGCTCGGCCTCTGGCTGCTCTTTTGATTGGCTCTCAGTGCTGGGCAATTTACTTGGGGTTGACTGCAGTCTCTGAGGAGGAAAAAAGACAACTGGTTGACAAATAAAATCCCAGATGAATATTTGTGGGAATTTTTGTGAAGCTGTTCGCCCCCGCTACGGAGCACAAGCCCCCCCCTGTACCTGCAGCGTAATGCGGCCATTGGTTTTGGCCAACGGGGACCCTCCGTTCTGTCCGTCTGCGGTGTGGCTGGTGAGAGCGATCAGGTAGTGATTGCCGTTGCTGTCGGTAACCAGCGTGGGGGTGCCGTTGGCCTTGAGGAGGTCTAGTGAAATGGCTTGGGTTTGGAGAGGGGTGCTGTTCTGTTGGTTGACGATGACAGGGGTCACCTGGAAACAGATTACAAACGCTCACTTCTGGGACTTGACTGGTATTTGACTTTTCCCATTCTAAATCGCCCTTTTAGGTGGGCGCGTTTCCCCGATTGCTGCCTCACCTGCTGGGAGGAGGCGGCTGCTGCCTGCTGTTTGAGCAGCTGCCTCTGCTGAGCTCTCAGCTGCTTCCTCTGCTGGGCTGTGTTGGCTCCGGGCTTGTGGCTCATGGCCGTCTGGTTCTGGATCTGCACCTGGACTCGTTTGAGCAGGAGCTGGCTCTTCTGCGCGGCGTGGGCCGGCCCGTGGCTTTGCTTGAGCTGGTTCTGCTGGGCCAGTTTCTGCTGGGCCTGCAGCTGCTTCTGCTGGGTCTGCTGGATGATGAGCTGCTGCAGCTGCTGCTGCTGATGGAGCAGGATTTGAGCCTCCTTCTTTTGCTGCAGCTGCTGTTTCTGGGAGCTCAGTTTGACCTCGGCCGCTTTCTGCTGCTGGGCCGGACTCTGCTGCTGCTGCTGTTGCTGTTGTTTGGGCTGCGGCTGCTGCTTCTGCGTCTCAGCTTGCTGGACCTGCAGCCGGTGGATCTGCTGCAGTCTCTGCAGAGTCTCCTGGGAGCACTGCATCGGCTGGGCCGGCCTTTTTGTCTGGGCCTCTTCCGCTATGCCTTCCATGCCCTCCTCGGGCTCCGCCTCCTTCTTCACAGTCAGCACGATGCCATTCGGGAGCGTGGGAGGCTGAATGGATGAGGCCTTTATGAGAGTTTGAAATTTAAACTCGGGGGATGTTCTGCTCTTCTCTATTCCTTCCTTCTTCACCGCGACGCCGCCTGCCATCTTGCCCTGCTCCAGCTGGGACCTCAGGGTCTCCACCAGCCTCTGCTTTTGCTTCAACATCCTGGTTAGCTCCTCGATTTGCTTGTCCTTCTCCTGGAGCATCTGGTCTTTGTCCAAAGACAATGAGTCTGCGGGCGGGGGCTCTGGAGGCTGGAGAGAGGCGGGCGAAGATCTGGAGAAGCTGCATGAGCTCTGAACCTCCTCTTTGACGACAGAGAGCGGAGAGACGTTTGATGGATGCTGAGGGGAGTGGTGAAGCGTGAGCTGGGTGAGGGGGGAACTCACCTAAAACGACAACAAAACGAGGAGGATGTTAGTGGGAGGAGGTTCTTTTTTTGTAGGATTGATGGTAAACAAAAGCATCAGAAAATGGACCTCACCATCTCCCCGAACATATCTCCGTTACAGCTGGTTTCATCTGGACTCATCCCGGCCAGCGACCGCTCCGAAGGCGTGGGCGACACCGGGGGACTGGAGCTGGTGCTGCCGAAGCGCATGACCCGCCCAGGGACTGCGTGGGCCAGGGACGACAAGGCCAGCCTGAAGCCGCCCTCTACTGGTGGGTGGTCAGGGGTGGCGGCGGCGGCGTTGGGGGGGGACGGAGCAGTGCTGGCAGCCGGGGTCGCGGCCTGCAGGCTGGACTGCGAGGCGCTGCTTTTCAGGACGCCGGCGGTGCCGCCGTTGTGCTCCTGGTAGTTGCGCAGCCGTTCGATAAGGTCATTCTTTGTGCCCGACACGGTCAAACCACGCAATTTCAGTTCTTGTTTCAGCTCAGCAACCTGGAGGATGAGAAACCACAGAAGCACTCATATAAGCAGCAAGTACTGAGTCAGAACGCACATCAACGTCAGCTTGAAAATACTTCAGTATATATATATATATAAGTAAGATTTCTTTTCGCATTTACTTTGAACTCATCCAGATTGGCTGGCAGAGTGGTTGGTCTGGCTCCGCCCGCTGTCGCCTGGCTCTGACGGGCCGTGCAGGTCTGACTGGAGGGGGCGGCGGCGGTTGTCGGGTGAGCGCTGCGGGAGGGGGAGGGGCCGGAGCTGGCTGTGGGCGTCTGCTCGGTCTGCGGCCTGAGTGGAGACGCAAAACGGTGAAGTAGCTGTGTGAAGGAAGGAGGGGTTGGCAAAGCGGGACCACAGTGACGGAAACCCGGCGAGCCAAATATAAGACTGGCAGATGAGGAAATGAGTGCGGCCAGCTGACGGGCCTGAGAAATTTAACAGCCATGAGGTTTATCAGTTGAATTTTATGCCCCGCGTTTCAGTGGTGTAAAGCAGCCTCTTAAACAGGTTGTTTGTTTTTTTTTTAATTCTGCTTGAAACTGCAGGCTCATCATCAGTAATTTGCGAACACTCTGCCGCCTGCTCGGCTCCACACTCACTTGGGCGGGGCGGGCAGGATGGTGTGGTAGTTGTAGTGCTGCTGCTGCTGGCTGAGAATCTGCAGCTGCAGGAAGAGCTGCTGCTGATGGAGCAGCTTGGCATAGGAGGAGTCCATCTGGGGCGGGCGCTCCTTGTCTGCCTTCTGGTCCGGAGGGATGTACTGATGGTACTTGAGCTTCTTCACCTACGCCAAGAAGAACCGTCAGGAAATGAAAAAACAGGCGATTTAAATAATTCTATCTGCGTCTGTAAAGTTTGAAGAGTGGATTTGACCTGTAACTTCTGTGCTACTGGCAGTAAAGGATCTGGTAGTTCCAGTTATGAGAATAAGACTATATTCTCAAATCTAAAAGTTTCTTGTGGTTGCAGGAAATGGTATCTCTTCCTGTTTTCACCATAGATTTCTCTTAACTACGGCTCGTAGTTACTTGAAATGTCAGGAGGAAATGTCTAAGCTAAGGAGAAGCCTTTGTTCTATGTTTCAAAAGGAACAGATACCAAAAGTCAGTCTTCTCATTTCTGAGGATTCAGTTTGATTCTAAAAAAAATCTAGTGGTTTAATGTGAATGAAACTACCAGCTTAAAGAGTTTTTCAGAACTTTGTCCGAGCTCTGAATGTTGTGTTTGTGTGTGCTGAAATGATAACAAAGCCCTCGCTGACCTTGGGTTTGCTGTCCTTTGGTTTCTTGGGTCTCTGTGGGGGGCGGTCTGAACTCGTCTTAGCCTGAGACTGCAGGCAGGAAAAACCGTGAGAAATTGGGTTGGAGTGGGGGGGGAGGGAAAATGAGGAAATGAAGAGATGAAGCAGGGTGAGCCAGTTATAGCTGCTCCACAAATAGAGATTAAGGTCACAATAATTCCAAAGTCGTAAAATCTTCAACTTGGAACGCTATTTAAGAAAAGGAAAGGCAAGCATACTTTGACTTGTCCAGAAGACGGGCGGGAAGATGCGGAGGTCAATGGCGTTCCATTAGTTATTTTAGGGGTAGGGGAGGAATCCAACACAATCCCTGAGGGGGGAGGTGGTGGAGGTGGTGGAGGGGGTGGCTGCGTGAGAAACTGACGAGAGGAGGTGTTTAAAAATAAATAAACAAAATCACTTTTAGGTCCACATGATCCTCTTTTGATTTGACTATAACGGCAGGTTGAAATACCTGTGTGGGGGAGATGTCCCCGTTCTGCGTGAGCACGTCGGAGGGGGACAACTGGGTGACGGCGCTCAGGGGGGAGTCGTGATTGGTCAGCTGGTCTGGGGACAGCGCATCGCTGCTGTCTTCGTCTAAAGACGAGCTCTCCCCCCCGCCTCCCTTTGGGGAATCTGCGAGAGAGCAGAAGTTCTTATAGACCCGGTAAAACAACACACCATCTTTAGAAGTCCCACTTTGAGCATCGGCGGCAGCTGAAAAGGCGAGACTTGGGCTCAATTCTCAGCTTTACCACAGCGTGTGAAAGCAAGAAATTTAGTTGCTGCATTTAAAGGAACGACAATGAGTAATTGTAGAGAAGTTATACAACATGGCGTGTTCGGTGGGCCCTCTTATGAAACAGGACTATGTCCAAACTGGGCTGCTGTGTAATTTCTGCAAAGGAGCGCTGTGCGGATTTCATTTTAAAGGGCCTCACCTCCCTGAGGATGACAGGCCCTGTAGCTACAACCCCGGCAGGTGGATGCATTTAAACGCTCAAACCATTATGTGACCCGGGGCATGGATTGCAACTTAAATCCTACTTTAAAAGTGGCGCAACTGCGCATGAAGTCATCAGTAACGTGCTTTAACTTGAGCGTGGCCTCTGTAGGCATCGGAGCTGCATGTGTCCTGGGTTTTGCACATGAGAAGCACGAAAGAGTTGCACAACGTTGTGCAAGTGCGTTCGCAATAGTTAAAGTGAGTCAATTTGTGTCAGCGTGCTAGTCAAATGTTATCCGTGCACCCTTGATTTTACTGCAAGTCTTTACATGATTAATTTGACGAGGCCGTCCGTGCATGTTTGCCTTTTGTGATGGAATTGCTATCCGTGTATTTAGGTTTTGCACAATCCTGCAGAAGATTTCTACACTGTACTAAAGGCAAGTGAGGAGCCGCTGGAAGGTGAGCGTCTGGATGCTGAGTGCTGCGCGCGTTTACCCAGCAGGGAGTGCTGCAGAGGGCAGCTGACAGACAGGATGTTCTTGTGGACCAGTTCGATGGGGCCGGGCCTGTGAGAGATCTTGTCGTTGAGGTCGTCGGCCAGGCGCGCTCGCTTCAGCTGGAGCTGCTTGGCCTGAAGAGACGGCTCCGCCGACGTCTCTGTGGAGGGTGATTCGTGTTGATAATCAGCATGAAAAAAAGGGGAGAGGAAAATCATAACGCCACCAGCTGACAGACACAACAAGCAATTACAGTCATTTCAAGAATATATTTAATTTTTCACAAACTTTGAACACTGTGGCTTTAGCAATGGTGCAGCTAATTAATGGATTTCTACGGGCTAGCGAGCTTTAACACAAAACATTTAATGTCGTCACATCAGACAAAATAAATTACCAAACAGGCCGTAAAACAAACAACTGTGGCTCATATTTGTATTCAGTCAAAAATCTTCCAGTGTAAATATCTCATGTTTGCAACATGGACACCTTTGGCTTATTTTTAGACAAGTGTGGCTGACTTTCTGGAGATCAGAGATGTTAAACTTCAGATCTGTTTTAACACAAATCACAAAACTAAGAAAAAGCTAAACTAAATGATGTCTTATGCACTGCCATGTTATCTTAATGACGACAAAAAGGAGCAGAATAAGTCAAAGCTCTAATTTCCCTCGGCTGGCTGAAATCAAACAAAAAGAAATGAATGGGGGCTGGATAAACATACTCTAGAGATATCCAGCAAACAATCATGACGGCTGAGAGAGTCTACCTTAATCAAAAACACATATGAGATTTAAGGACTTTACAGAGTTCATATGATATTTGTTCCTGTACTGTGGCAAAATACCTACGTTTATATAAATCTATTCTGACCCAGTATTAATGCTGTCTAATCAAACAAACTGACAATCTTTATCATGTCTGACTCCCAGCTTTTTAAACAAGATCGCCTATTTCAGGGATCCAAGCGACCTTATAATCCTTCCATTATCGCTACATCAGTTTTTAAAAGAGAATTTTGGATAGTCATATTAATCTCAGTATTTTACTGAAAAAGCATCTGACAGGGAAAAAAAAATCGGAAAGAAAATTGAAAATCCAAAAGAAGCACTGGATCATTTTTCTTTAAAATGCTGGACGATGGATATGGGCTTAATGTGTGAATTCATAGACTAATAAAAACTGCAGATAAAAGGAGGAAAACGATCAGATGATGAAGAAAACTATAGTAAGAACTAGTTTTCTTATGCTGGATTAAGTTGCAAAATTGATCTCTTACTTCCACCTGTGGAACAAAATGACTCGCCGTTTACGTGCATACATTCAGTAGAAATTTAGCATAGTCATATCAGAAGGAACTTGCTTTGTTTTATAGACTGTGCTTCCTTTCCAAAGAGATATCATCTGACCTCTAACCTTTCCAAAGGAACTTTTTACAAATAAATAAAACGATTTGAAACCCAAACATGAGCTTTAAACTCACCCTCCAGGATATGCATCCTGACCAGCTCGGAGCGTTCTGGGCGACTCCGAATCTTCCTCTTCAGGTAGTCTTCAGTCTGTGTGTGGGCGGGTTCACATTAGTCAGTTTAATATGCACAATCTCTCCGATGCAGGTTATCTGTCTTACAACCCAAGCGGTATTTGTGGCTTCGTGCTTATACGTTGCCACCTGTCGATGTGTGCGTTGCACAATGTTTTCCATACGCTTTACACAGATGCTGTTTTTCTGCATGGCCGCGCCGGCCTCCCCAAAGAGAAGCCACGAAGCAGGAAACGGCCCCCGGTACTCACCCTGGCTCGTTCCAGACTCCTCCGCTGTTCATGAAAAGCTGCAGGGCTCTTCAGGGCTAAAAAGGAGAGATTAGGGAGAGAAAAGAAAAACAAAGAGGCTCTGATGAGGCATGCTGCTCCTTTTCTGAATGTTCGAACAGATACAGCCGGCGTGGAAGAGAGGCTCAAAGCAGAAGTGTCCCGGAGAGAAGGTCAGAGGCGGATTCTAAACCACACACTCTGATGACATCTTAGCCGGCCGATGGCTCTCTGTGAATGTTACTTTAATGTAATTCTGCTAGCATCACAGCTTTTTGTTTGATTGTGTTATGTTTGAATTCAAGGAACAAAGTGAGCATCTATCGGGTTTTTCTAATAAATGTCTTTTATCGAATAAATTAGACAGGATTGTAATCTAATCTGATTTAAGATAACCAAACCCTTTATGACAGATACATTAAAAAAGGCTGAAGCCATCCGATCGCATTCTGCCTGTTAGTCTGGTTGATTGATCAGCCAACTGTTGCCCTCAAATACACGCAAAAGACAATCTACAACTATCATCCATCACTGCTTCCTGTGGTGACCTCCTGGAAAGTACCCAGAGCAGATGAGCAGGCTCATGGACTTATATTATTGGTATGTTTTGGAATGTCATTGCTTTTCCAGATCCTATGTCTGGTTCAACCTCAAGAGAGAGAGGTTTTTTTTTTTTAAGACATCTCCCAAAAACACATTATTCCCTCTGTTTTGAATCCCTAAGCTGTAAGTCTTCCAAGTGTCAACATCAGAGCTTAGTGTTGCCATGCAAACAAGCAAAGCCGTCCACTTTATTTGGGGAAGGATATTGGAGGGACAGTGGCAGTTACGATGACGCAACAGGGCGATGGCCTGATTGGCCCGTTGGTCTAATGCTGGCGAAATCTGTGCCACGGGTGTGTTCATGTGGAAAATCTGGCTGGTGTCAAATGTTTGTGCGGCGTGGAGCACTGGGTGGAGGTCGGAGGCATTCCTCGTGTCACATGCCCTGTTGTTTGAGGAAGGCCTGCATACCATCGGTGATGTAACGCATCGGGAGAAGAAAAGAGGAAAAGGACCAACAGTGGACCAGAGTTTAGACCGCTGTCACTTTCTAATATTTCAAACCCTGACGTAAACACTCACACAAACTGGATTCGGGTGACCAGATGTCATATTCTGTTACTTCTGAGTTCAAACTTTTGACCGATTGCTCAGCAGTCCTAACCAGTCATTGACATGGCAACCCAGAAGTTGCCAAGTTCGTCAAAATTCACCCACACGACTTCTGGTCATGGCACCTCAATGAGAAGGTGCATGCGTGTATGGCTCGCTACTAACTTCTTTAAATCAATCCAAGTCATATCAATATTCAGAATTTCGCCTGTTTTTAACGAAAAAACCTTTACTAGGCATCATGCCACCAGAAAACGCCAAACCTGGCCAAAAAAAACAGCTCCACAAGGGAATGCTAGCAGTCAATTGCTGGTTACCCCATATAAAGCAAAGGAGGCGCCGACCAGTCGTAGTATTCTCAAAGCAATCGGCTTGCTGTCAGAAAATATGAACATACAATCTACCGACATGCGAAACGCAATTGAGGAAAACATTCTGAAAACCTACATAAATCCCAGAACCAAGACAACACACGTAAAAACAGAAGCTGTATCTTGACAAATTTCAATTTCCGACCCTGCAAGAAGAGAGTAAGAACCATTTGGATGAAAAGCTGAGTATTAAAGAACTTAAAATGGCTCTCAGCCTACCAATTGAACTTTATAAGAGATGTCCAGATAGGTTACTGCCCCACCCACTTGAGGCATACAATGAGTCTTATGATAAGGTAACAATAAACGTCCCATATTGAGCCTCTCTCTTCTTTATATGCCCAATGATCAAGGAGCTGTGCTATTGGGCGACTCTGCTTCGTGCTGCTACATGTTATTTTTCCACCAGTGACATACCACCCTGGATATAAATAGAGAACAACTCATTAATGTTACCCCTGACATCCTATTTTTACTCAGCTGAACTTAAACAGCTATCAAAAGATACTTCACTCAAAAACACAATATCCGTTTGGCACCACTTGCATACTGTCTTAAGCAAAGTATATCTAAGATCTCATGTCGGTCCTCTATTTGAGGAAATAAAAGATTCAAACCGGGGAGAGCAGATACGGGCTCCGAATATGGGCGCCATCTGACCTAAAAAGACCTGAATAAAAATAGGGGACCTTTAAAGAAAAGGACTTTTAACGTCAATCTGTCCAAAAAGAATATAAGTACTTATAGATTAGATTGTTTTTAACCACATTACTGAAATGAACGGCTGAACCTCCACTTTCTACCATAGAGTATAAAGCCGTCCACCATCATCAGAGTCAAGGCCTACTCTCAAAATGTTAGAATATCTAACTTTTAGCCTTAAAGGAAAATAGCCGTTCATATTTACAAGTATGGAAAAGTACTCTGTAACAGAAATCTCTGAGGATGAATGAAATGACTCATTGCAACGCTCTCCTGATTGGTCTCCACAAATGATCCAGAATGTGGTGCCCCGTCTGGTTTTCAATCAGCCCAAAAAGTGCCACATCGCCCCTCGTCATTGAGCTTCCGTGGCTACCCCTAGCAGGCTGCATCAAATTAAAGTCCCTGAAAAGACTACAAAGTGCTTAAGGGCACAGCTCCCATCTACAGGAATACTCTGGAAAAGGCTTATGTCACAACTCGGTCACTGGATTGTGGTCTTGCAGTGCCTACACCACTCTTAAGACAATCTAGACTCTTTTCATGTGTCGTTCCAAACACAGGGGCATTTAACAGAGTTGGACTAGTGATTTTCTTCTAGGTAGCTTATAGCCAGGTTGATGCTAACCTTAATGTTATATCTGTATTGTAAGTCGCTTTGGATAAAAGCATCTGGGAAATGCATAACCATAAACATAGAAAAATTCCAATACAACAATTTGTGTGTGGGGGGGCACACAATCCACTGTACTGATCTACACAAGTTGCTTTCCAAGCACTGTGAGGGCTTTATGAACTCCAACAAGTGAGGGAGAAGAAAAACCTGGAAATCTCTCCTGCAAAAGGGAACTGAAATCTTTCAGGTTTAAGTGATTCTAAACTTCTCAGAAGTTTCTGTTTTTACCTGTTGATTACTGTTAGTCAGAGATCTACCGAATCCGACGTTTAAACTCTGCAAATTGAGTTTTTTGTTGTCCTACTGCATAGAAGGGGTATATTTCTCACATCTGCTAGTGCCACCGGGTCGGTGCTCAGCAGATTAGGAGCATCACTGAGGGGAAGTGCTTAGCTCAAGAACAACAAGGAGGCATTTACGTAGGGACAGAGGGTGGAAAGTTACTCATTCACACCAGGTTAAGCTGTAAAAAAAAGCTTTGTGAGGGTTTGCAACCACAGCATTGACTGACCGTACTCGGATCCCACCCTCGCTGAAACCAACCCACTCCTATAACGGACAGATGATGCCCCAGTGATAAAAATGTCCCCAAAAGATGAAGCTGAGAAGTGGTAAGGAACAAGCCTTCCACCTTTAACTGTCATGTGACCACTACATCCATCCATCTATCTATCTATCTATCTATCTATCTATCTATCTATCTATCTATCTATCTATCTATCTATCTATCTATCTATATTTTTTTTCCGTTTGATGAAAAATCATCAGCTTTAGATCTGTTTTAGATGTGTTTCTTCCTCCCTGTTTTTGTGTGTTTGTTTCTTTCTCTCCCTCAGTAACTTTGCCTGTAAAATAATCTCTCCGTACGAGCTGATCCCAGCAGGAGGGAGGACACTGAGATTTACTGGCCCGAATAAATGGCTGAAAGTGAGCCTCCACGCCGTCGACCAAAACAAGCCCTGGTTCTGCTCTAGGAGGGTTTTCGCCCCGGCCGTACATTTTGAGCAAATTGAACTAACTCAGTGGCAGGAGGAGGGCTTTTTTTCAGTTTTATGCTAATTCCAACTCTTTCATGGGTGACCCAGTGAAAACAATAGCAAACGACACAGAGACTGAAATTTGATCAGATGCTAAAAATAAAAAAACATACCGAGTGGAAGTTTGGGGGTTGTTTTGCTCTCCAGGGAAACATGTTACAAACTAACTTGCTGCGCAAATTCCTTTTCAGAGGCTTCTTTAACATTTTCGCAGATAAAATTGTGAATCGATGCACAGGCGAATGAAATAATAATGACGGCTGTCGACGGTAAAAACTGGGGCTTTTAAACCACCGTACCATTAGACCAAATGCTTTGCAAGTACCGTCATGTGTGCTTGTTTGAATGCTTCTTCTATTTTATCTGAGTGCACGATCAGAAAAGCTGTTACAACATGAGTGTTATGGGCCGCTCACTCGATTCTGAACACCGCAGATGTAGGCCAGATTGGAGAGACGTGCTGAGAAGTGTAAAAATAAAGACGTGTCTACACAAATTCATGATACTTTGTTTACCACAGTTTATACACTGCGTTATAGCAACTACAAGGTAAGAGAAGAACAAAAAAACACAGGACTTTTTTTTTTTAAATTACAGTTTAGGAACGCAAAAAAAACAAGCATAAGCAACAAAGTTTCAAATACCTTCTTCTTGCAGATACCTGCAGCAAATACATTCTTGTTACATTTCAAAAGCAGGTGTCACCCTGTGGTGTGGAGAAGCCTTACTGTGTACAGAAACTCCAATCAGGTGATGACATATAATGACCAATCAGAAATACGGCCCGTTACACGGAGGGCTGACTGATACAAAAACAAAGCCTTGCAGCTACTTTTTCACACTGAGACAGAAGAAACTGATATCTGCCCCTTGTTGTGCGGAACTCTCGAAACAGGAAGTGGATAGAAAAGAAGAGGAAGCTGTCCTATTTGATAACAGAGTGGCGCAAAGACGCAACTAATTGTGACACATTTAGGATTGATGTGCACAGGCACTTAATTCAGATAATGCGCATCGAGGCTGACAGCTTAAGTACAAACTACTCAAAGGGGCAGGAGATCTCACCCAAAAACTGTATCTACAGACAAAACCAGGCAATTTAAAGGTTTCTCAAAGCAAATTCTAACTAAAGATAGGCAGAAATGCAGTAGCGTGAGGCTAAAATAACCACAAACATACGGGGCTTGCATGATTCCGGTATGACAGCGATATTTAAACCCAATGCCGGAGCAGACGCTATGACCTCAGCACGGGGACACAGACACTTCAGTAAAAAGGAAACTGATGTAGGCATGCCGGCGGTGCAATTCAAATTCTATCTACTTAAATGTTCGTAAAAAAAACAGCGAAATGTGGTTAACTTCACGTTTAAAATAGAAACTTACGTGGCATGATCCCTTGGCTGACCAGCTCCTCTCTCGTACGTCTCTGCTGAAGCTTGAGCTGGAGGACTGCATGGGGACAGGAGGAGGTGAGGGGGAGACACAAGAGAAGCAAGGAGTCAGTGCCGGCCTGCGAGAGTCGGAAAGTGCACGGACGGCGCTCTCAGTCTGCCCGCCGCGTTCAAAAACAAATAAACAAACACAAAAAACACAAAAAAGTAACATCTATGTCTTCAAACTGACAGGAGGGCGGCTTGCACTCTCCGTCAGCCTATTCATCCTCCAATTTCCCCTTCTTTTCTTTTTTTTCAAAATCATTTAGAAGGCGGGTACGAAGTGGGTGTGACTACTACACACTTCCTGTTTCGTTTTTTTTTCTCTCTCCTGTGTACAGATGTGCATATGAAAAAAAAGAAAGAGAGAAAACAGCAGTCTTTCATCAAAGAGTAAGACAAGAGGCTTTTAAGGGAGCCGAAATGTTGGAGGATATTGGAGACAGACGCGGCTGACTTTTGCTTACAAAGTACACCAGAAGGGACCAAAGAAAAAAAAAAGAAGCAGAATAGAGGGTTAACTGCAAAACAGGAAGCACTTGTTACATAATCCAGATACAGGGGAGAGAGTTTTTAAAGAACACAATGCTTGGCAAAAGAAGCTGGGCTGTGTTTGATCTTTGCCTGCACACAGAATGATGGCCGTCTAGTGCTATAATAGATCTCAGACGTCTTGGTGCTTTTTAAAGTCTAACTAATGGTACAACTCAACCGTGACAGGCTTTTAGGCCTCGCTGAAGCCTCCTTACAACGGCTGAATGGGAAAGTGGATATCAATTAAGAGAATGAGGAGTTAAGACGGTGCCGAGAGTGGAGTAAATACTTTCTAAAAACCACGAAATGCTGCAGAAGCATCCATCCGCATTAGCTTCTATTGCAACACATTTGGAGGAAGTTCCTGTACCCCTCAGTCTGCGACACAGACAGAAAACACACACACATTACTGACCATGACAGAAATAACACTTTGAGGTTGCGGGGCTTGTTATTGGTGTGGGTTTCCTTTTTAAAAAAAAAAGAAAAAAAAAGACAGTTGTTGAGTAACCGACACCGTGCTATCCTTCCAGTGAGCTTCTTGGCAGGGGCTCGTTTCTATTTTAAAATCAACGACGTGAGACTTGCTCTCCATTTCTATTTGAGCTAAAAGACTATAAAGTCAGAGGACGAGTGAGTGCGTTGATGCTAATACTGTACGGAACTTTTCCAAACAGTCGCGGGAGGCCATCGTCTTTTACGAGCAGTTGTCCTTGCTGAAAGCGTGAGTGCGTGCGTGTGTTAAGTGGAAGATTCCCAAGCATTTCTGGCCAGGGGGTTGTGTCTACTACTTTGAGGACAAGCGCCACCTGTTCCTCCCCAGTTATGAGGTGACATCATTGGCCACCAGCTGACCAGTGAGCTGCTGTGGCAAACAATTCGGACCTGGGCAGCGGCACTGCAACCCGCCCCCCCGAAATAATGTCTGAGCCCGCACTTCTAAATGTCACTTAATCCTCCCTGGCTGTCCCAAACCAGCCCCCACCCCCCCTTCGGTGTTCTGGCTCCACGCGTTCAGGCACCAGATGAACAGTGGAGCCTCCTCTGTTGGGAGCAGAGGCGACGTAAACACAGAGGCCCTAACACAGGTCGTTTACAAGCTCGACAAGCGGTCAGAAGACGAACGCTTCACTGAGTCAACCTGGGTCAACCTCAACCCCGCGCATTCGCAAAAACAAAAACACACGGACCGTTCCGTGCGGGATGGGGGGCCGAGCCAATTGCCATTTCAAGGGCAGAGGTTTATTCTAGGAGAGACAGTCTTAAAACTGTCCTTCCGCTCGCCCTCCTGTCGTTCCAGTTACTTATTTATTCCATACTGCTCTCTTTTTTGTTCTCCTTTTTATTCCCCAGAATGAACTCGGACGCCCAAGCGTCGTCTCTTTAGTCCCGATGGAAAAACAAGCTTGAAGCACCCGACTTTAGAATACCTTTGAAGATACTTAAGAGAGGGGGCGGCACGGTGATGTGGTGGTTAGCACTGTCGCCTCCCAGCAAGAGGGTTCTGGGTTCGAATCCCGGGGGAACCAGGACCCTTCTGGGTGGAGTTTGCATGTTCTCCCTGTGTCTGCGTGGGTTCTCTCCGGGTTCTCCGGCTTCCTCCCACAGTCCAAAAACCTGCATGTTAGGTTGATTGGAGATTGGGGAAATTGCCCTTAGGAGTGAATGTGAGTGTGAGTGGTTGTTGGTCCTTGTGTGTCTCTGTGTGGCCCTGCGATGACTGTCCAGGGTGTACCCTGCCTCTCGCCCGTTGACCACTTGACCACCGTTGACCACCCCGCGACCCCATCAGGGAATAAGCGTTATTGATAATGGATGGATGGATGGATGGATACTTAAGAGAATCTATAAAAGATGGTATTCGAACTCATTTAGTTTTAAAAAGAAAATGCACCCAAAGATGTAAGGCAGGGATGAGACTGCAAAAAACACGACTAAAATGATGGGATTGGGGATAAAAAATGTTTTTCTTTTCTTTTTTTTTCCAAATCGCTGCCTCAGGTTAGCTGGAACTGAAAGTACCACGGTTTCTCTCCGTGAGCCAAAGTTATCCCTTTACATGTTTTAAAAAAAATGTCCACTTACAAAGTAGAATTGCAGAGGAAGCTGCCCTCTATCACGTACCGCCCTGTTTCTTTGCCAACTGGCCGACTGCGTGACAAACTGTGGTAGAAAATCAACCCATAAAGCTTCCACAGCTTTTCTTACAGCATTTTTTTTCAACTGTCTCTTGGCACAAATAAGGCCCTAACTTTATTTGTTTGGTTTCTTCATCAGGCATCATCAGGCAAAAAAACTGTTCCAAGTAACTCGCAGTCGTTTGTGCTGACTTAATCTACACCTACATGCACAACGACCTCACCAAAGAAAAAGGAAGAAGTGGCAGAAGGTTTTCTCACACTTGAATCGATGACTTGTAGAAAAAAAAATGTTTTGTAAATAAATATCAGGGGCATGTCTTTTTCTTACGGAGATCAGCACACGCGCCGGGACCCAATTCAGGTTTGAGGGTCGCTGGCTAAATTAAGAAAGAGGATGAAAAGGCCGGGCGGTTTTATTGGGATAGTAGGCCACAGCTGAAGTCTGCCTCCGTAGTCATAAAAAGTTAGAGTGAGGGAACACAGACGGAGGCAGGAAGACGGCAGAGATAGCAACATTTACAGATTTTTCAGATGAGGCAGAGGAAATGACTGTAAAACCACAGTCTGCTGGCTTTCTCAAAGACAATTTGCTCCTTAAAATCAAACCCACAATCTCAAAGCTTTGACTTGAAAACCCTCTTCAGGTGCTTCTGTTGCCTGAACTGCGATGAGGCAGTCATTTTTAGGAACCATTGGGGTTTGAACACAGCTGTCTGGTGGCGAACTTGAGAAAAGGAGCGTCAGTCGCTGCAGGAACTCTGTCAGATAGTGGGATAAGCCAAGACAGAACATATCAAGGATTACTGGGAGTAGAGAGTCATTAGAGGAGGAATGAGACACCGCTGAGGTGGAGCCGGGACAGCGGTGGCCAAATGGGCTAATCCCGTCGTGCTCGTGTGTCAGTGGATCTGATTAAACATGTCTGAGTTCGTCGCTGTCCCCAAAGACCCCTGGCTTGACGCGACTAAGCCCGAACACATGGCAAGCGCGGATAAAAGCAGAATGACTCATGCCCAGGGTGGCCGAGGAAGTGGGCACATGGGAGCAGGAAACAATCCCACCCAGCTGAACCCCCCCTACCCTTCCCACCCCCCTCCTCAGGGTTTGCTTTTTGTCTGATCGGCTGCGAGACTTGGAGCTGGCACTGGAAAAATATATATTCCACGTGCAAGATGCCGCCGCGCATGAGCTCATGCTTTGCACATTGTCCCGCCAATGGGAGTGGAAAGTGGCTGTCTGTGGGGGAACAATGCAAGGTGAGGGCCATTCACACCCACACTGCTGCGCCACGCCAAAGAGCCGGATGACAACGGGAGGACGGGAGGTGAATGCTAATTGTCTTAAAGTTCACGGGAGCAGAGTCAAATTCGTAAAAGCTGTCCTTCCCCAGCTGTGGCGAAAAGCAGGCCCGGTTATTCATTTCTTCCCCCTTTGCTCCTGTGTCTTCAATCACTCTAACCTCGCGGGAATGTTCTGTGTCGTCTGTAACCCTGGCTCGTGCTCATAATGCCTGTTATAAACAAACCGGGATTTTTTTTTTTCTTCTTCTTCTCGTCACTGCCTCGCTGACACAAACCATACCAAATTAGGCTGGAATATCAGTTTATAATAAAAGGTCAGCTTCAGCATGGGAGCGATTCTTTGGAACACGATTCTTTGGAAGTCTTTTGGGAAGCACATCTCAATCCAGAAAAACCCTGCGATGGCGAGGGGCGTTCTTCTGTACTGGATACTCTTTTACAAACTTAAGCGGAAATAGCAGATTCACAGATATTTGACGATTGACGTCCAATAAAAACTTTTAATCTAATGCTAAATCAATCAATAAATAAATAATAAATAAATGTGTACTTAGTTATATTCCATTTGTTTCGAATGAGTTACAATGTAGTGTGACCGAGGATTTTCTGCCCCCAAGTGGTGCGACAGAGCAATGTTTTTACAATGTTTTCCTAAGTTATGATGCTTAACTTGACATCATACAAGTAATTCCCACAGAGATGCACCACCGTATTGACCCAAAATACCAAAAAGGGATACTGCTACCATCTCAATGCTTCTGTAAAGGAAGTAGGTCTAAAAATCCCACTAAGATGTAAGTTTTTTGCACAGTTCCATCCAGAGAACACTGATTCCAGTCTTGAATAATTTGATTGTCTGCGTGCGAACATGATTGAGCTTTCATGTTTTTAAGCTAGGGGGCTATTCATATCTCAGATATCACAACCTCCAAGACCTTATTCTGTTCTGCACACCCGAGAAAACCAAATAGCCTCATTAACTATTTATATGAAGCCATAACGCTGTGATATTAAAATCTACACTGGAGCGCTCCAACACAAATAATGTGGGATATCCTGTGTCCACTGTCGACGTGTAACTCTAGATCGCCCACCTTCTTTCAGGCTGTGGTAGACCAGTGTAGAACTGTCGTGATCCATCTTCAAGTCTTCCTTGTCTGTGTCATCTTCCATTGGAGGAGAGTCCAGGGGGGAGGGTTGAAATGACAGGCAGTGGTTGGTATCCAGCATTATCATTCAGAAATGAGACTATTTGGTAAACATTGAACTGCTCCTTCAGACGTAGTCCTCTGAATCTCCAAATGTTGCTCGAATCGACGAAGAGGCGAACAGTCCTTGACGCGAGAGGTTCTTACAGCTGGCTGTCCTCTCTATCCGCGGACAGAAGTGATTTAAAATCCTTGGGAGGACTCCCATACAAGTCAAAGAACGCCTCCTTTTAAAATCATACCGGCAAGTGCTGGCGCTGCCTTGGCTCTGCCCTCGCGCTCCGTCCCCTTCTGTGTTCAGAGGGATCGATTTGGTGCGTGTCGGCTTCTTTCCCCTCTCTCTTCTGCCTCCTGATCCTCTTTGCAGTGGCAGCCCGGCGAGTCACGACAGCACCGTTCTGCAGTTTGCCGGAGAGGAAAGAAATCCGCAGGGCGAGCCGTGGACAAAAAGAGCAAGGCGGCGGAGGGGAGGAAACTGTAAAAGGGGGCCAGCGGCCGAGGAAGGGAGGACAGCAGTGAGCTGTGCTGAAAGATTCCACAGTGAGGCTGCTTTGGTTGCAGCTCCTCCTGAATCTCACACACGCACACACACAGACACACACACACACACATGCACACACATAGGCGGTGACTGTTGCCGATAAAGTTCTCCTCCTCAGCTGTTGCCATTCATTCACAGTTACAGGCTCAGGGGGGGCTGCCACTTGCGAACCTCCTCCCTGTGGAACGCAAACGCGGGTGTACCGGCAAGAGTGTGTGTTCCTAAACGCCACCGCCTGTGGCTGCACGGGCTTCCTTTCCAAACGGTGACTCAGTCAACGTGTGGACAGTTTGTATCGCGTTTGTCGAAACGGCTGCGCGCCGCCCAATGGGATGACCTCATCCTGCATAACAGACCTTTGTTATTTGGATATCTGCGTGAATCTGATAGTGGGATTACTGATTGACACACAATTGCCCCTAAACTTCGGCAGCGTTTGCCAAGTGCTGTTCGTCCGACGCATCCCAAAACTTGTTGACGTACTCCCCGGCTAGCCTGCAAGTCCGGCCCCCCCCGCAGAATGCCGATGGCGATCGGCACCCGTACCCCCGCCTCTGGTCTGTTTTAAATAGAATGACCAGCTGGCCGTGAGGGGGCTATATTCAGCTTGGTATCACCTGTGCGTTGGCAGTCTAATGTTACTTCGGGGCACAGACAACCCGGCACACAGATACACGGGAGAAGGTTAAGCCTCGCTTCCTTTGCACCGAATCCGCGTTTCGGCCCGGGCGGCGCCGACACCTCGACGGGCCAGAAGGCCTTCGCTTCTTACGGAAATGGCCAACGTGAAACAGAGAGCGCACCTGAACACACAGTCACAGAGACAACACCTTGAGCTAACGGGCGTCTGGGGGCCAAAAATGACAGGCTCTTAGGAGGGTGAGATTAAAGTCCACCTGCTGTTATGATCTCCAGTCTGGGCAGGAGGCATGGAGATGACACACACCGGGATTAGGGCGTCCGTGTGTGGGCTGAAGAATGCACAACGCAGCTGTACTGCCTTTATTTTTCTACCCATGTCCAAGAAGCCAGCCTCAACCTGCTGCATCCTCATCCTGCAATTCGGTTTGTTTCAGCCTGACGAGCTGACGGCGGTTTGCTTTAGTATCTAATAGGTTTAGGTCTTCGTGGCCACATACACAGGAAGATACATCGTCTCTCCCGCCACACACACACACACCCAACCACTGAATTAGCAGTTACAGAATACACTCCGCTTTAACCAGCAGGCTGTTTTTAAGATGTAATGTCTGACCTCGTCACACACCGTGTGTGGAACTCTGCAATTACAGAGTTCCACACGGCCTGTCAAAAGGAGAGTGGATGCAAACCAAAACACCGAGACATGAGCATTTCAAGCTGCAAACCAAAAACACTGCCGCTTACCAAAAACAATCAAAATGCTGCACATTATTGTGTTTCTAACTGTGACTAAATATGTCAGACTCATTTATACGCGAGAGATATGCGAGGGGGGGTGGGGGGTGTCATAGGTCTGGCTACAGGAAAACATTCCAGGAAAGTTATTTGACCCTGAACGCGCTTATCTGAGTCTTATTTTATCTTTCTCAGAACAACATTTTTTGGAATTTCTCAGAAAATGGACAAAGAAAGACCACCGCAGTTTAACGCAGAGCTTATCCCTCCTCCTCACACTTCAGATACCAGACCCCCCCCAATAAAATCATAGCTACTTCCTAATCCTCTAAGGATGTCTGAAAATGATATCCTGATTGAGGGACAGCCTGACCTTCTTTGCAGAACGTGCGGCAAACGATCCAAAACAAACAATCCTCTCCACAAACTCCTCAAAATACTGGAGCTCAACAGCCACAACACTGTCTAGCACTCTGTTTGACTCCAGTTGACTAAATGTCTGCGCGCTCCAAGCCCTCCATGACTGTATTGTATATTTTAGCAAACGTTTGCGATAGCCCTCCACTATCTTAGTCATTCGGGTGAAGAAAAATCTGACTTCACAAAATGAAACCTCAAAAGAAATGCCAAGTGACTTTCATGCAATGGCGCTAGAAGGAACATCTCTATCAGTTTTTTTCTTGAACATAATAAATGTTTTAAAATCTTTTATTTAAAAAATCCATCACTCTTCCTTTTTATGTACAAGTCTGAGAGAAACTACTATTTCTGTTGTGGTATGAAGGTGCAATGCGGCTTATCAAGTTCCTTTGATGTTCATAAATAGGTACAGTAACTTCTGGACTATAAGTCGCCACTTTTTTCACACTCTTTGAACACTGGGTTGAAACATGGCGACAGTGGAGAAGATTTATGTCCCTTTGGTCAGGCGAGGTAACACGATGGAGGTGTTTCTAAACATCTGACAAGCATGTAGTGATGGATAGATGGATTTTTTTTAAGTATATGTCGGCTAGAATGTTCATTTGTTCACAGGATTTTGTTGATTTTGATACATTGTCCTTTTGTCGAGCCACTGAACCTGACACAGGGGAAATATATTATTCATGTTCATTAACTGCTTTATGATTAGACCTGCGTTTGTTTGTATTTACCTAAGAAGTACTAAAGCCTGGCGTCTTTTTAGCCGCAGGTCAGAGCTACTATTACCACATTACCTTCTGCATTTGACGGGACACAGCACAGAAGAATGTCTTAGAAATATAACTACCCAGCTGATGTCATGGAGGATGCTCGAAGCTCCATAGCAACCGTGTGTGTCATCGTGAGTAAAGGATGCGGAATCCAGCACAAAACCCAAATGTAAACAACAAGGCTGCACTTTATCACTTACTGCTTTCACTGTTTGGATTGAGAGGAGTAAACTATCTGTCAGAGGCCTGGCAGCCAACCTGGAGTGTTTAGAGTTGAATTCTCCCCGTCCTCTCTTCTCAGCGACCGGTCACACCGTTTTTAAGAAATGTCACTCCTCTAATGTAAGTTTGATCTTATCTGAAATGATGTTCACGTCCCATACGATCATCTGATTACCTGCAGGCTGCTTATAGTAAAGTTGGCTGTAATCTAAGGTGTGCGATAGACAAATGGCGACATACTTGACTGCATTAGAAACAAATGAATTTGAGGTAATAATGCCAAACTAAAGTCATCTGAATTTGAATTGGCTCTGGAAGATATTAGGCACTCTGAGAGTCTCTGGTGAACTCATCCAGTCTCATCGGGGTCAATAAAAGAAGGCCAAATCTATCTGAGTTTGAAAAGTTACGGTCCTGAAGGCGGCCGTTTGAATCTCCGGCCACTTGTTTTCACTGTAAAAGAGACAGCGCTGAGGAGCAAGAGGTGGGGGGAATGTACTCTGGAGGGGTGTTCCCTGCACAGTGATGATGGCATCGTAGCAGACCATTACATAACTCGGACATCTGAAAATAATGTTTCTGGAACAAACCCCCCCCCCACCTCCTGCCCTAGTTACAGGGGAAACATGACTTTCCTTATTCCATTACGACTGCTTTCCCTCTAGTTCCTACAAAATTAGACAGAAATACACGACTCGGGGAGGATGAGCCCGGTCCACTGCTTGCAAGTTACCCGTAGAGAAGGATTAGATTGACTTGTTTTTGGATTTTGTTTGCTTTATACCTACTCTGTCAGCCCGTAAAAAAAACTTGATTCCATTCGGCTGCTGTTTGAAATTTTACAGAGCTCTTACTTCTCTCATCTCTCCTTTCTGTGGCCGTGTAGTATAACATCTAATAAAAGCTTGGCTGTTAATTTCCTTCAGCGTTGAGGTTTTTATTAGACAGACCTTTTAATGGGGTCAGAGGTTTTTAGATTTTTCTTTTTTTTCCCCCATGTGGCTTGAAGCAGGTAGCTTAAAATGTGATGTCGTCTTGTGTTTCTTTTTGTTGCATTTATCATAAATCCCACATTCTCTACCTTTTTAAAAATAGTTAGCATTAGCTTGTTGTCTAAATTTGTCACGTATTGGCTTGGAGGTTGTTGTCCATCAGATTTACCGCTAACAAAATATTCTCTTTAGCTATGTGATGCCTCTCATTGATGAGCTACCCCCATCTTATTCGACGATTATACTGTAACCACAAAAAACTTGAATAAAAAGCATCTTCTTGCTTATCTAGAACTAAATAAGAAAAGATGTAAAATTGGAGTGATGGTGCCCATCTGCTAAGAACAAGGACAAATGCAAAAACAAGGAAACATAAGCTTCCTCTCTCAGACCCGCGGCAGATCGATTCTGCCCCCTTCCTGTCCTTTTAAAGGGCATTCTGGGAGAGAACGCCTGTGACGTGGGACCTCACACGGCTGCAAATTTGTTCTCACGTATAATGTCTGGCCTGGGGCTTGGGGCGTCACGGCTGCTGCGGCGAAGACAGAGTCGCCGTGATGACACGGGGGAGTCCCCGGCGGCTTGCGGCGACCTGCGCTCCGCTCGCCGGCCATCGCTGCTGGCAGGTGAGTCACCGGCTAATAGCTGTTGTATTATTCACAAACACCGGAGCAAGCCGAGTTAGAGGGGAAACTAGAACGAGTGGGGGTCTTCTGTCTTCTGTTTGTGAGCAGACGTGCACCACCTGTGACAGCCCTCGAGGATGGAACACGAACCAAGCCTTCTGATTGGGTAACACCGGTGCCTAAATGAGAGGCGGGGGAGCTGCCCAAGAGTCTTTAAGGGGGAAAGAAGAAGAAAAGGGTGTGAGAGCTCATCTGCCTGGTACTGCCTGCTCTGGGGCTGTTACGAGAACTGGAGAGTGTGTTTTTAAGACACGCTGGATGCTGCGTGAGTGGGCTTGTAGCTGTGGGTGTGTTTTTTTTTCTATGTCTGAAGGCTACAAATCTGAGACAGGCCCGTTCGGCTTACTCCTCGCTATCAAGCAGGAATTTTGCCCGAGCGTAAATCAAACGGTGTTGGAGCTTGCGGAAAAAGCTGTGTTGTCAGGACACACTGTGAAAATGGAAGGTTACCAAATAGAAGGAGTGCGTGCCCGGGGCCTGACAGTGACACAAGGTGTGCGCAGGCCTATCTGTGTAATGGTTAGTCATGCGTGCGGTGCGTCTGTACATTTGACATATCTGGGATTCGAGCGTGTTGCAAAAGGAGCCGCGGCTACAGTGACATATTGG